GGATAGAAAAAGAGGCTAATAGAAGTTGATGACAATGCGTCGGTTATGTGCCATGCATGGTACACGCTTAGGCAATCATGTATCTTTCGATACATGACTGACGAGGCAGATTTTTTCCCCGCAGTAGATTGCCATTTCTTTCTGTGGTAGACCAGTTGCCATCCAAGGCTATAGAACCCGGTCTGTCCTGCTATTTACCCATAGCTGGAGGGAGAAGAAGGGGATTCACACTCCTTACCCAAGTGGATTTAATGGATTCGACTGGATAGCGGCTCTGATTCTTCAATCAGAGCCGCTTTCAATGCCTCCTCGATGACAAAAAAGGCTACGCAAAATCCAATGTATCAAAAGCTTCCATTGGAAGTCGTTGAGAGAAAAGGGAGATAATTAGGATCGAAAAAGAACAAATTGCAACATTGAAAAGGAGAGACAAGAGAAAACGGTTCATAAATAGAGAAGAGAAAAGACACGACAGTGATAAAAACGAACATATTAAAATCATAATAAGTAGATACTGAAGCTGAAAAAGAAATGCTTGATGGGAAACAGAATGTAAAGAGGGTAACAATAATATGTGTGCCACTGACTGCGTGTGTGTGAGAGAAAGAAAGAGAGAGATAAAGAGAGAGAGAGAGAGAAAAGTATCTTATAGAAATATATTAATAAAACGAGTGTTTCTGCTTTGTAATGTCAACTGTACACAAGATCCAACGCGAAAAACCACAAATTATTTCTAAGATATCAAAGATGTTTGCTTTTATTAATAAAAGCCATTTAAGCGGTTAATAATGAAATCTTAGCTTTCTAAAAGCTGACTTGCATCACAGTTATTGCAATACTTGACCGGAGTCCTCTGAACTTGACGACCTTTAATTGTAAAATGATCAGAACATCAAAAAGAACAAAGAACGAAAAGAATCATTTTCTTTCTATTTGTTCACCAGATATCGCCAGCCATAGCCGTCTTTGTAGTAAAAATACAAACGGATTCTAAGCTTCCAATGTTGTTACAACGTGTTTGATATCATTCAGACAGACTTACGGTGCGTTTTAAAAAGGATAAATGGTAAAGATTGATAGAAAAGACAAAGAAGGCGTGCGATATCTTGAATAGTATGAAAGAAAAAAAAAATCAGATAAATGTTCTCATGTGACAAAGAAAAAGAAATCGAGTAAATTGGCTACAGGGAAAAGAAAACTATTTTGAAAAAATGTTAGCGAATGATAATAAGGTGGGGGGGGGGGGAAAGCAACAAGTGACCGTAAAAATTAAGCTGGAACCGACAAGATATGTTCTCGGGGTTTGCAAATTCCCAACGCTCGATGCTAAGTGGTTGACAACACGTGACAATTCGACAGAATAGAATTCACAGATATCTTCGTGCGTGTATGTGTGAAATTAAGACTGTATGAAGGTATATAGATGAGGAAGTAGTGAAAGGTTCTCAGCCCAACCAATTCCCCAAAATCTGATCAATCTGATATTTTGGTTCGAGCCAAGAATTTTTCAGCGCCTCCCCGTAACTGTGTGCATTTGCGTATATCCCATTAACTTTTCTCTATCTCATTTATGAGTGAGGAAATGTCTGTTTATGTTAGTGCGTAAGTAAACGAAGTCGGAGCACATTTATGACCGTTGTGTTTACTACAAGAACATATATGTATTCGCGGCTAGCTGATAAAAAACGAAAACACACCAGGAAGATGAAGAAGTCGTTTGTCTTTTTTATGTATTTTAATTTTTATCCGGTCATATTATTTAATTTAATCTCTCCTTTTTTTAATTCAACTTCTTTGTAGCTACATTTTATTCTCAAATCTTTCTCTTTCTCTTTCTCTTTCTCTCTCTCTCCCTCTCTCATTCACTCTCTGCCTTTCTTCCGCCGTTTTACTCTCTCTATCTAAATCTCACTCTAAATCTCTCTCAGCCTATCTTCCTTGATTTTATTTTCTACTCTTTCTCTTCTTCTGTCTTTCTTCCTCGATTTTATTCTCTCTTTCTTCGTCCTTTGTTTTATTTAGTTTCTGTTTCTTTCTCTCTAGCATTTCCGAAATTTTATTATTTCTCTCTGCCATTCTTTGTCGATTTTATTCTTTCTTTCTTTCTTTCTTTCTTTCTTTCTTTTCTTGATATCTCTGTTTCTTCATATCTCTCATTTCTTGATATCTGTTTCTTCATATCTCTCTCTTTTACCTCTTTCTTTCTTTCTTTCTCTCTCTCTTTCTCTGTCTGTCTGTGTGTGTCTCTCTCTATCTCTCTCGCTCTCCCTCTGTGTATATATATATATATATATATATATATATATATATATATATATATATATATATATATATATATATACATAACAGAGATATCCAAAATTACCTCATGAGTATAGGCTATTTAAACTAACGTCGAATGCGTCAGCCTTATTCAACTGAAGCGATGGACTCTATTCAGTGTCGGAACTAGAGATTTAAAATTTAATATTTGACAAAGACAGCAGTTGAAAAATTGATACAAAGCCAACCCAAAATACAGTAGACAAGACAGACTGCCCGAGTGGTAGTAAGGTGAGGGCGGAAGTTAAAAGGAAAGAAATTACACAAATTCAACCCAGATATTAACCTTAAGACCCCAAATTGGGGTTATAAGAAAGATGAAATGAAACTAAAGGAAGGCGAAAAAAAAATTTTAATTATTAATCATATAAAAAAATTGTTTCCATTAAAAATTACCAAAATATGCTTACAAATAAGATATAATAATATTTACAATAAATCGTTTTTATATAGTTTATATTAAGAAAGAATATATAGAAAAATTAATGAATAAAAATAAGAATAGAAATAATTATATAATATATTGGTAGCAGGAATAGATTATTTTGATCGTTGTCCTATTGAAGATCTTACTTAGAGGGTTGTTTCTGTGAAAATATTTATTTATTAACTCCAGAAAATGTTGTCTGATATTAGTATTGGATAATTTACAGAAAGTGGGGTTGAACCATATAATTTTTCTTTTTCTATTTCTGTGCTACAACCCATTTTAGACACTTCCGTGTTACTTATTCGGGTTAAGTAGGATAATTTATTTTTAAGGCCACTTTTATGGACAGCATTTTCATATAATTCTTCATTTTTATTAAAGATATTTATGTTAGACGAAAGATTACTAATTCTAGTGCCAGTAGTAATAACTATTTGTTTCACAATGGTGTAGGAATGGTTAGAATTAACATTAATATAGTTCCATGCTCTTTATGGTTTAAAGGTATTATTAAAGTTAAGGGTGATATCTAGATAATCTACTATTTTGAGGTTAGAATCAATCTCAATCCTAAACCCTAGTAACTTTTTCTTCTGTAACTTCACAGTTAGTGGACCATTGCTATTGGGAACGAAAATGAGTCTATCATCTCTATATAGACCTACTATTGGATCTATAGTTCTAATATGTATATCTCAATTGTAAAAACAAACAAGGTCAGCAACCTGGGCTGAATCATATGCTCCCATAGGGACATCAAAATCGTCATTACGGCACTTAATCCAGGTAGAATGGTTAAGCGCTAAAAGTTATTTCCGAGCAGTTAAGATGACATTAGTCTCATCATCCGTTATCGCCATATGTGTTTTTCGCAAAGTTGATACAATTAACTAAGAGGTCCCTGGAGATAGAGGAATAAAAATCTATTATGTCAAACTTAATAAAGGTTGCTCTTTCTTTATCACTCATATTGATGAACCACTTGATAGTATCTGACGAATCCTTCCGAAGATTAGTACAGGTTGTAATTAATAGTTTATCGGTTATTATTTTTAATTATATTTTTGAGATTAGACCTAGTTCAGTTTTAGTAGGATTTATTAATTGTTATGTTCCAGATTAGGACCAAGGAAGAACAACAAGGTTGTCTTGATGTTATATGGACCGCAGATCCTTTGTATTTTCTCTGATAACCCCTTCACATAAGGCAGGCAGACTTCAAAAGCTTGACGACACTTCGTAGATATCTCTCTCGAGTGAGACCCCCATAGAGGAGAACATGACTAAGGACTGTGTGTATGCTATCCCGTGCAGCTGCGGAAAGGAATATAAAGGAGAGACAGGCCGCCCCCTCAAGGTAAGGCTTTCAAGAACACCAGAAAGCTCATCCCAGAATCAAGGAATTATCATTATTATATTCCTTTCCATTCAGACCAGCATGCTTTTGGTCGTTGTAACTTCAAGTCATCTTTAGGTTTCTATCCTACTCATTAAAAATGTCGGAAATTTTAATCGAATCCATGTTATTCTGCTTTCGATGCTAAGGGAATATTTCATATATCAGTTAATGCTCTCTAATCTCTGTTTTACTTATTCTATGGAACCAGAGTATATGACCATTTTGCACTACTCAACCCAAGAATTTAATGTCGGGTGGACAATCCATTTGGGTAATTTTCGAGATTTAAACCTTATATCCACTCAGGTAATGAAATTCTTGATTGTTTTTTGTTTTCTATTCAGAAGATTTCAGAGGGTCTATCTTTCTGCTTGGCCTACTGATGAGATTGCCAGAGCCTAAGATACGCGCTGGTTCTTTCTGTATTATCCTCCACTATTATTCTCTATTTTCTATTGTTTTCAAACACATATCTTCAAGTAAATTAACCCTAAACAGTTCAGAATCACTCGCCAATATCTTGTCCGACAGGCCATTTGTACCATGAGAAAAGGAATAACATAAGAGACAAAGTGAGAAAGGCAAAATTTTGATTTGTTTTTTACGGCTTATCAACCCTTTGCAATTTACTTAAATCCAGAAAATATTTTTAGATTGTAAGAATTTTTTGGAAATAATGAGGATTTAGCAATACAAGTCGTACTAATTAAACCATAGCAGGAGGGGATTCATACCTATCCAAAAATATTTGCTCGTAGGTGAATATAATGAATCCGACTGAAATTGGAACTCTGCTCTCCGATTAACAATTCCGAGTTCTTATCCATTACACCACCCGCACATCCAAGTTTACTGCACCTGGAATTTCCAAGAGGTCACCCATCTAGGTACTGACCAAGCTCGGCGTTGCTTAACTTGGGTGATCGTACGAGAACCAGTTTTTCAACCTGATATGGCCGTAAGCTGAAAGGCAGAAGATAGGCTCTGTTGAGAAATGAGACGATAAAAAAAAAACGAGAGATGAAAGGAAATTGATAGCAGCAAAGAGTTTGAAAATTTAGATGCCAATAGAACGATTGAATGAAAATGAGAGATGGAGACGAAAAAAAGTGCTTTACAAATCTGGTCGATTCACAATATGGACAGCAATGTCACGCAATATAAAAAAAAAAGTAGCCATTCTCATGACAGAAAGAATGCAAAACGATCTCAACTAATACAAACAAAATTCTTTGAAATTACAATTCAAGAACTAACGTGTCATATTTGTCGGTCTGAATAATCAAACAAAATTCAAATCATTGTTTTTGGAAAAAAATCTTCTTGACATGCCTATTTTGGGAGCACTGCATCAAGATAATTACTACGAATATTGGCAACTTAATTTGCATAAGCATTGGTATGAATACTGACCTTTGTCCTTTGTTCACTTGCGCAATCACGAGTTGACCTCTCAAGAGCCAAAACGAGGCTCACTTTCTCTCAAACTTGATGTATTCAATCATTCCTGTAGAAATTTACATATTTTCATTAAAAGAAAACTTTCAAATGGAAATCGATTTCTGCAACTTTTGTGCTTCGCAACTCAGTCTGAATATTTTTTACAGTTTTTGGAATTGAAAATATTTTCTTTTAATTTTTAAGCATTATTTTTTTTTCTTTTTTTGCTCTAATGATTATTGCAGTTTTGGTAGCTGTTATTATCATTATGATTATTGATATTATTATAGTTATCATCATCATCATCATCATTATTATGTTATAGCTATTATCATCATCATTATCACTGTTATTATCATTATTACTATTATCATTATTATTAGCGTTATTATTGTTATTATTATTAGTGTTATTGCAATTATTATCATCATCATTATCATTGTTGTTACCATTATATTATTATCATTATTATTACTGTCATTATAATTAACATTATCATCAGTATAATTATTATTATTATTAGTATTTCCATTCTGGTTATCGGCGAGCGGGGTCAAATTTTAGTTTAGTCTGTTGCGTTCACTTCCGTACAAATTCTTTTAGGAAAGGCATGAATCCATCTCTTCTCTCTTTACCTAAAGCCATGTGTTAAATAGCAAAGTAAACTGAGCTCTTTAGCCTTGTGTTGTCACCAGTCTAGGAGAAGAATAACCGCGTATTCCAAACCGTGGCAAAGGCAACAGTAGATCAAAAAATATCATGACTTCGGAACTAACAAAGGAAGATCTATGGAGAACCCTGATCGCCTGCGCCCTGAAATGATATGGCATTTAATTTTTATAAAATATGTGTTAAATAGCAGAGTTGAATGAGCTCTCTAGCCATGTGTGGCTGCCAGTCTAAGAGAAAAAATGCTGAATTCGTAATGGGAGAGGACGATGTGAAACTACTCTATTTTCCTGAAAAGTAATAACAATTCAAAATTACTGAAAAGGAATCTGTGGAGAGCCATGATTACCTACGTTATCTAGTGACTAAGAAGTCATGGTAATTCACAGATAAAAAAAGGAATTTGTAGAGAGCTAAAATCGCCTGCGTCCTGTAGGCGATCTTAGCTCTCTACAAATTCCAATCATGCACTTTTTAAGTGCCAATCATGGTACTTAAAAAGAATTAATTGGTAGTTTTCCAAATGACAACAAATCTCCCCCATATTCATAGAGATGGTCTCACTTCTCCAACTGATCTCAGGTTCTTATAGCTTTTTTCCCCTCGGTTCTCACGAATGTTACCAGTACTCCGATAATAATTGGTACTACTGTCCCCCGATTCACATATTTTCTTCGTATCTCTGGAGCGTCAAGATACTGAACTATCTTTCGGGTCTGCTGGAACTGAGAAATTCATCATTAATCGTATGACCGAAAGTGGTCGTAGGATCGCTGCGCAGCTGAGCACCGGTCTATTTCCCCTCGCTAAATCCGGGTTGAAAGCTAGACTGGCAACAAGACTCAGTATAATGCCACACAAACATTTGAACCCAGTCATGGCTCTCAGAAAATTTCTGAAAATACATCACCCCTTACATTTGGCCACATAACTCCCAAGACTGCAACTCCTTTGATTATTGTGAGTCGAGCGCAATTGGGGGAGACTAACAAAACTCCTTTAATACCAAAGATGAACTGAAGTCAGGGATTATGGCAGCATCACCATCTTAAACAAGGAGACTGTCCAGAAGAATTGCAGGAGATTCCAAAGTCGTCTGGAGGCCGCGGTTGAACCCAGTAGCGATTTTATTGAATAAATTTACTGTTTAGGGTTTCAAGATATTTTTGTGTAATTTTGATAAATATATCTGTTAAAATGACATGTCAGGGTTATTATCATTTTTGTGTAATTTAAACGACAATTATTTCATCGCACCATGTATATATTGATTTTTCTAAGCAGAGCTTAGATGTGCCACAAGGCCGAAGGTATGGGGAACCCAATTAGGGTCGAACTCACTACTCAGTCGTAATTGTTCCAGCGAGACAAGCTTGCTAAACATTCCGCCACGCCGAGGTGCCCAAATCGCACATATATATATATATATATATATATATATATATATATATATATATATATATATATATATATATATATATATATATATATATATATATATATATATAGTAGTACAATACATTTAAGGTTATTCGTGAGTATGAATATTTTGCTGAAATTTTAGACATAATATCTGTAATTTATTCAATATCTGTAATATATATATATATATTTATATATATATATATATATATATATATATTGATATATATATATATATATATATTTTAGCAAAAATCCATATATTGAATAACCTTACGTGTATTGTACTACTTGCACCCCCTGAAGATGATCTTGGAAAAAGTATTTGGGAAATGAAAATAGAAGATATTTAAACAGCTATAGCACATTTCTCTCATCCTTTAACATCAATACACGGAAGGTTATTCCTAAGTATGAAGGGATTTTGTGAAAAATTAGCAGACATAATGCCTGTAATTTATTCAATCAGACATGCCTAAAAGAGAATTTGCTGCCTAAATACACAAATATATATATATATATATATATATATATATATATATATATATATATATATATTATAAATTAATTGATTTAAAATATGTTTTTTTTTCGCTACACAGTCCCAACCATGTTTCAGCATTAGTTCCATTTCATCTTCAAGCAAATTCGCTTGAAGATGAAATGGAATTAATGCTTTAATTTAATTGCAAAATTAAATTCAGGGGTTTTAACTTCTATATTTGAAACATGGTTGGAACTGTGTAGCGAAAAACCATATTTTAAATCAATTAATTTATAATATTAATGCTCTGTAAATTTACATTGAGCACTATTTTGTAAAAATAAATATATCTATAAGAACACCGGATTTTATATCTTACTGTTCTTTCTTTATATATATATATATATATATATATATATATATATATACAATATCGAGTATTTCGTCACTTTTACCATCTGAGACAACCGCATGACGATCTAGGTGTCCTTATAAAGGAAATGTTATAACATGAGTATTGTATTACCTATATTTTATATTGGCTCTATTTGTATATTTTTTTTATATTTTACATTGAACATTGTCTTTGTAGCGTTGTTGCTTGCCTTTATTATACAACAGTTCGATGAGGTCAAATTGGCGGCTGATATCATAAACGACCTTCAGTCAGTTGTTAACTGAGGCAAAGAATGGCTTGTTAATTTTAACGCCTTCAAAACTAAACTGTTCTTTATTAATCATCTGAAAGACAACTTTCTGCCTTCCATCAACATGGCTGATGCTAACCTCCAAGAGTTACTCGTTGTTCTCAGGTTAACTTTCTCGGCTGACATGAAGTGGAAAAACTACATTGAATCCATCGCTAGGTCAGCTGCTAAGAAAGTTGGTTCACTTCATCAAGCGAGACAATTTTCCTCTCTAGAATCTTACATATCTATTTCTACCATTCGTCCATGCTTAGAATATTGCTGCCACATGTCCTATATATTTAGTGATCCTTGACAAAATCCAAAGAAAAATCAGTAATATTATTAGTCCTAATATGGCGGTTCGACTTCAATCACTTTTTCACCGCCATAAGGTTACCTCTCTGTGCCTTTTCTATAAATATTTTCAAGGTAATTGTTCGGATGAGTTCTTCGCCATAGTTTTGAATTTAAGCACTGTACTCGATTGGCAACGAGGTCTCGTCAGTTTACAGTTGAATTGGTTAGATGGAACCGTAAGTTCTATGTTAACAGTTTCTTTTCTCGCATTTCTCATTTGTGGAAATCTCTTCCGATGCCATACTTTCCAGCCAATTTTAATTATTAAAACTTTAAGTGCAATGTCAATTCTATCTACCGTCTTTCTGAATACTCTTTTGTTCTCGCTCCACAGTAATGTTTCTGTTTTTTGATTCTCCCACGCCCAGTAACTAGTGGTTTGACAGCATTGCTTCGGATGAACACGATTAAAACAATAAATAAAAAAAATAAAAATTTCATGCATTTATATTTTTTAATCCGACATAATTTTATGACTATATTTTTAGGGAAAGTCAATAATTATCTGCACTCATAACGCAGACATGTTAAGGCGAATGTACGGATTATTTTTGACTTACCCTCTTCTGTGAGCATGTGCGTGCGTTCATGTGCGTGTATGTATATATATATATATATATATATATATATATATGAAGAAATATAGTCTTAAGGTGTGCTATATGGGATAAAGTGCTCAATATCAGATCATATATCATAACCCAAATAAACGACTTCCGGTAAAATAACCGCCATAATAGCCTACCCACAATGCACCACTGACCCGTATATATATAAATAGCCGAGAAAAATAACAGCACTCGTGGCCTGACGATTGCATCTAGCATGAAACAGACTGTCGCCTCAAAGTGTTGACTTCTATGTTCACTTTTATATATATATATACTAGCAGTAGAGCCCGACATTGCCCGGGGATGTAACAGTAAGAGATAGATCAAGTATCGACCATTATAAAGACTGAAAAATAAAATTGACAAAGATTATTGTTTAAGGTTGATGGACACGCATGTCTTAATTAGTTTTTTGTTTTTTGGGGGTTTTTTTACGAATTGGTCAAACCCAAACTCAAACAATAGTTATGAGTCTATCGATTAAATAGAATTTTATTATAAACAATTGTCTTGCAAATGGAATTTTTAAAGCATTCTGAATGTAAAAATAAAGAAAAAATTGTGCAAGACAATAAGAAACACTACCTGCCAAAAAAAATGAAGTTTTGTTGAAATCGGTTGAAAAATGTAGGAAATCCGATCCCATATATAAACGAACACACAGACACACACACACACAAACAACCTTGGTTTTATAATAAGTATAACTCGATATGAGTTGTCCCCCTTTCATTCTCGTGATGCCTCTTAATCGTGTTTTCAAATTGATATCGTGCAAAAACAATTGTGTTTTTCCAATTTTTGGCGCTGTCAGAACCCCCGCAAGGTAATTTTACGCAGCCCTGTGAAGTTTTGTTGAAATCGGTTTAAAAATGTAGGAAATCCGATCCAATATATAAACGTACAGACATACACACACACACACACACACACACAAGCTGCGTTTTATAAGTAAGATATATATATATATATCAAAAGAAAACGAATCATCGAATCTCGATACCTGGATTATCCTTTCCACTTACGTATTTGATATTATACGTGTGTGTGTGTGTGTGTGTGTGTGCGCGCGCGCGCGCCTCGATAGTAAGTCTGATCAGTTCGATGAGGCCAAATTGGCGGCTGATTCTAAAACGACCTTCACACTTTTGTTAATTGGGGCAAAGAATGGCTTGTTAATTTTAATTTGTGTGTGTGTGTGCGTGTAAATTTTGGGAAGAACAACTAATTTTTTTTGCGAGCTTAGGGCCACATCACGTCGAAACACCAGTTCTCGTACGATTACCGACGACCGAAGTTAAGCAGCGTTGAGCCTGGTCAATACCTAGACTGGTGACCGCTTGTGAACGCCAGGTGCTGTAAGTTTAGATGTGCGTGTAGTCTAATGCATAATGGCTCGGAATTGTTAATCGAAGAGCAGAGTTTCAATTTCTGTTGGTTTCATTCTGTTCACTTACGTATGAATACCCATTGAGAAAGGTATGAATCCACCTCTTCTCCCTCCAGCAATGGGTTAATTAGTAAAACTTGTATCACTAAAACCATTCCCCCCCCTCAAAAAAAAAATTTCTGGCTTTAAATAACCTGCAATAACATATTTTATCTCTTTGGAATTTATATCTTACGATTCCTGGCAATCTTTATATATCTTACAAGAAAAATAAATATCAATAATTTTAATATTATATAGAAATGGTCTGGGCAATGCATGGCCTATGTACTATCAACCAATACTTCACTCTGGAGCTGTCTATCCAGTTTGCACCACCTGCACAATACAGGAGACAGCATTTTTCGGGTTATAATTCCATGTCAATCTCAGACTGCCATTCCACATTCTAGCTTAGTCTGTCATACCTTCAGAAGAGACTGTCATGCAAAGATCGGACTGTTAAACCACGTCAGCCTCTTCCCGCAAAAAGGACTGACTTTAGACCAACTAAGTGGCTCGCTGGCTTCTCCTGTCTCTCTTGCCTTCAATATGCCCCGTGAATTTTCAGTATCCTTCTGTTGCCTCTAGTTTTGTCCTCATCCACGAGGGGATCGTCCAGCATTCACTACCATTTAAGAGGATGGATACAACTAGTCTGTGGTATGACGATAAACTCCATCCGGCAGCAAAAATCTTGAGAAGCCTGGAACGGCCTCTTAATTGCTGTTGTTCCCACATCCACTCTGACCCGAGGTGGTAGCACCTGTTAAGGATCCCGACTATGGGCAAATAGTGAATCCATCCAAACAAAAACAAAACAATGAAATAGAAAAATACATTTTTACCGTAAAAATACCAGTAATACATTTTTATATAAAAAAAAAAATGATAACAATACATTTCTAATGCAACAATGACCAACAGTACATTTTATAGCAAAATGACCAACAATATATTTTATCTGTAGTTGAAGGTATGTAATTGCGTTCGAAATATATTTAGTTGAAGCGATAAAATTGTGTTGAAATTATTTAGATTTGGGCATTAAATGACCCATAGAGGTGTTGATATGCCGCTAAATAAAGTCAACAAACCAACCAAGAATAATGAACTCTTTCATTACATTAATCCATATAATATCGTACAATTGCTTAAAGAAATCAAACTGTATATAACTTTAAAACTGCATAAAACACATATTGCCAACTCTAGTAAACATAGCTACACAAACTTGTATTTGCACAAAAGCTGAGCATGATCTACCATGTATCCAACTGTGAAAGCAGAATAACATCTTTCTATAACTTCAAAGCTCCCAAGAAAATTACATTTCGGCATTAAATGACCCATAAAGTGTTGATATGCCGTTAAACAAATCAACCAACCAACTACTACTATTACTTATTTACAATGGAATGCACAATCTCTAGGTTGCATAATAAAAACTGACGTCGCAAAATAATTTATAGTAAATATTTCTTAGTTATACTATAACCAGATAATGTCGGTATTATTTCACCGACGAGTAATGGAGGGGGGAGGAAAGACGGTTTCAATGCTTGCAACGAAAAGTCTGACGTTGCTTACAAGCGAAGTCTTCCTTGTAAAGGTAACAAAAGTCAAATGACTGGTAACACTCGGCACTCTTCTCTGCGTAACAAGCGAGCTTTTCAAAGGTTCTGTAAAGAAAAAGAAAACTGAACTTGCGACAAAAAGTACCACCTTTTAAATTCTCAAGGTCTCGTTCAACGTGATTCATGGTCCCGTTCAACGTCATACGACGAGACCAGAGCGTCTATAAAAAACGTCAATCCTTTGGCCCTGGTTCGGCCCGGGAGAAAGTCATTATTTTAGACGACGACGACGACGACGACGACGCCAGAGCACATACTTCCCCCCTCCCGACCTACCCTCGGTGAGTACAATATATTGTTCTTTTTTTTAGTCACCACAATAATCGGACTCTATATTGTTAATATAACTATATTCTGAAAGTTTTAACACTATTGCTTAGTTAATACCAATTTTGTTGCTGAAAACAGTGACTTAAAATAATAAAATCATACACAGAAATATAGACAGTTTGGACATAGTAATCAACACTACTGGGTGACTCAATTTCACGCTTCAGTGTGGTCTTCAGTTCTTATTGCTGTTCTCAAAAGCACATTGGTTCGTGAAATATCCACACTGTCTATATCTATAAACACTCTCTCCGACAATTGGCACGCTTCCTTAATCAATAAAACAATTTGTAAACCATATATAAAAACACAAATTAGGGGGGGAAAAAAACAACAGAAAGCCGGCCAGCTGACCAAAATAAAACTAAATAAAAAGAAAGCCAAGAAAGCAAAAAACGATATAAGAAAAAGTTGTGGGGAGAAAGAAACATAAACTAAAAAAAAAAAGACCAAAAGACAAAGACCTGCCTGAAGAGTAAAAATAAGTAAACCGGAGGCGGGGAGACACATAAACTAAGAAAAGACCATTATCGATAATATATACCTAATTATAAACAATAATACTTTTGAATTTGACAGCAAAAACTATATCCAAACCCTAGGTGCCGCAATGGGAACGAAAATGGTACCTATATATGCCACCCTAGTATAAGCTTACCGAGAGGAAAACCTGAAAGAAGAAATAAAACAAATATATGGGGAAAATATAAAAATTCACTTTACTAAATTTTGAAAGCGATACTTTTCTACATTTTCTGGAAATCCTCACGGGGTGATAAAAACCAATTTCACACTACTCCAAAAACTTACACCCGAAGATCAAATTCACCCAAGAATATAATTTTAACGAATTGCCATTCTTTGATATACTCATTAGAAATAAAAACCATCACGTAATCACAGATATCTACCAAAAACTTACAGACACTCACCAATGCCTTCATTTCAAGAGCCATCACCCAAAAAGCTGTCTAGAATCCATCCCCTATGCCCTAGCACGTAGGGTTTGCACTATATTGGCAGACAAACACCCCAGAAAAACCCGCCTAGACGAATTACATAAAACTCTCAAAAAACAAAACTACCCCATAACATTAATAAAGTTTTTGAACAAGCAGAAAAAATAACTTTAGACCAACTAAGAAACATAACGACTAGCAATATCTAGCATATGTCTCAACATACAAGAACAATCCAGAACTATTTACAGAAATTCCAAGAAATGTAGACCTACTTAACAAGAATGATATAATGAAAAATATAATAAAAACAATGAAAATAATTAAAAGCAAACGCCAATTAAAATACCTAAAACACATATTAACCTCATCCAAATTTAGCCAACACACAATGCAGGGGTGCATAAAATGCAACAAGAAAATCTGTGGAGTTTGTGATATCATTATCGAAGGAAACTCCTACACTTTTGAAAAGCCCACAACAACATTCACAATAAATAAAAATTTAAACTGCAACCCCAAAAATGTGGTTTATGCACTCAAGTGCACAAAACCTATATAGGCACCAATGAAGCACTAAACAACAGTTTCCCTTCACAAGAGCAAGATTACCAAACAACTGAAAACACTTTGTATCACAACACATCTACAAATGAAATCAAGGAAAATTTAAAATTATGCCAATATATGGAACAGACAATTATTTGTACCTACAAATACAAGAAAAAAACTTCATAAACAAATTTAAACCAGCACTAAACAGATCATAACTCCACACACATAAACATACCGCATACACAAATGATGGCCGAATACACTTCTTGAACATGCACATATACACAGACACAAGTTTCGATGGAGAACGAATATACATACACATACTGGCAAAAACAAACACAATAGACTAACCACAAGCACACACACGAACCCTACACAACACAGGAAGTGTGTGTATATCTATCTATCTATCTATTTATCTATATATATATATATATATATACAATTATATAATTGGTGTATACGGAATGAATTCCAATAACCAACAATTACTATTCTTAAAAGAGTGCTCAATACAGAGTAGAGCAGATATAATTATTTATTTTTAAAAATTATAACATAAATATGTTATAAAATCACTACAAAAATAACCATCTTGTTTCAACACTTCCGAGTCTGTCTATATTTCTGAGATGAGGTATTATGTACATTATTTACATTATTCGGACTATTCTCCTCGTCTTTGTCGCCATATTTATCACAACGTTTCAGAGGGAAATTAGCAGGAGATAACTGATAACTGACATCCATCAAATATGGCACGTGGAACTAGAACAGTCTACCCCAGTGAGCGAAATAAAGGGTTCAGTTCGAAATTCCAACCACCTGAAGAAGGCCGGAGCGTACAACGGCCTAAACGTTGTGATAAATATGGCGACAAAGATGAGGAGAATAAACCGAATAATGTAAATAATCAACACTTCCGGTGTCTTATCAAGTGATGATGTTGAATCACCGGAAATGTTGAAACAAAATGGCTATTTTTGTAATGATTTTATAACATATTTATGTTATAATTTTTAAAATAAATAATTATATATATATATATATATATATATATATATATATATATATGAATTACTATAATAAAACAATATATATGTATGAAGAAGGAATATGTATACACATACTAGTAAAAACACACACGCACACACAATACACAGAAATGGAGATAGGTTTAAGAAGACACTGGTGTCATAAAATGATACGAACAAAGACCTCCTTTTTTCGCCCACTCTCTGACTAATCCTAACAGTTTTATTACCCCTTAAGCAGAAGAATATTTTCTCCACAAGTCCCCTCAAAAATTGGATTACTACTACACACAAAAGACAATAGTTAAACATCGGAAAACATAAGGAAAATTAATTCCTTTTGCTAATATGTGGAAATAGCCATTCTTTTCCTGATGAAAGCCGTGAATCCGGAAGCCCGTGTAGCATAAATAGGG